CCCCAAAACCCCAAAACCCCTCGATTACAATTAATGTTTCTCTTTGATAATGACTTATAAAAATTAATTTAGAATTTAAAATTCATCTAAATAGTATCTCAAATACATATCTCACTCTCTTTTATTTTTATACTCAATATGATAGTTGACATATTTACTCATATATTTATCAACTCTTGATCTTATATCTGTTTCTTTATAAGAATTAGCAAGTCCTAGCTTTGAGAGATACAAGAGCCCAAGTTAACTATTCAGTTGGTATATTATTGGAATTTCATAAGAAGGCATTCTTTTGTCAAATATCAATGCTTCAAAAGGTGTTAATAAATTTAGATCTTATTAATCATAATGATATCCATGCTTTAAAATAATGCTTTCATTCTTTTCAGATTTTGCAAATTCCTGTAGAGATTTAGTTCCCTCCCAGATATACCCTCCACCAAGCATTCTTTCAAAATGTTCAGTCATTACAGTATACATCGGCTGCTAAACAATAAACTTTCCACTCACAATTTTATCCTGATACACGTAAGTCCATGGATCAAATGCCACAATATTCTTTGCTTTATCAGTCATTTAAGCTGCACTTATGCAAGTAATGCCTCCAAATGAATGTCCTGACACAACTAAGTTTTGAATACCTAAGTTGAATTTTCCAAGATTAAGTTTGTTTTAGATGTGACCAATGTTTGCTACTTCATTAATAAGTTCTACAAATTCATTCTCCCTAGTTCTCAATTGCTAAGCTCTGAATTCATATTCGTGTTTTTAATGATTGCCATCAAGGTAAGTAAAATTACCTAATTTATCTTAAGTAACTGAGCAAGACCTATCTCTATGAGCAATTGCAAATATAATGAAACCATGACTTGCATAGTCATTAAGCATTTAGGAGTAGTATCTAGGATGGGCGCTTAGACCATGTGAATACAATATTGGAATCAATTCCTTATTAGTAAAATCTTTACTTAGAGGAGCTTCTTCAAAACTATTCTTAATCTTAGCTCCTAAGAGAAATCTATAAAAGAATTCAGGAGCATTATTAGGAATATATGGCTCTCTGCAAGGCTGCATAGAATGCAAAATTCCTTTAATGAACTCATTCTAATTTTTAGTATCAAAGAATGAAAAAGTCTTATGTTTAAAATCTTTCTCTATCTTTGGATCTTTATCTACAGGATAGAACACAATAACCTCATTATCAAATTTATCTGTTCTAATTTATTTGAATCCTATATTATAAGGTCCTCTTGTAGGGTATTTAGAATAGTTAGGATCACCAATTGAAGCCATAAAAGCTGAGAGTAAATATATGAGTATCTATAAAATGAAGAGCAATTGCTAGTAATCTTTAAATAAATCGAAAGTTGAAATAGGATTCAATAAGAAAACGATTGGGAGTAAAATCAATTATGCTGGCCTAATTCCTTCAAATATGATGCAAGCATTTAATATTAAAAAGGATATTCCTATTGCAAATGATTGTAAATTTGAACCAGGAAAGTAATTGATTGCTAAAATTTATAGACCAACAATGACGTATTACAAAGTTTCTAATGATCTCATTTTAATTATTAAAACCTTTTAATAATCTTAGATATGTTATTTAAGTCTTTTGGGGTTTTGGGGTTTTGGGGTTTTGGGG